GATATTATTTTGACCAGAAATTGACCTTCCGAGTAGCAGTGGGCACATCTACGCACTCGGAAAGAGCACTACTCAAATCCAAAAAAAAAAGTCAGAAAAAATGCCACAAAGTATTAAAAATAAGTTGAAACAAGGCCAAACGTGAATTTTATTTATTTTTCTTTTGATTTAAATAACAGCTATTTTTAAAGCTAATAGTTTTATTGCAATTTTTGGTCATGACTTCATACCAACATAAGCATTTGCACTGTATAAAAAATATGTAAAATCAAAACTGCTTTCTGGTATGTATTTCTAAATTACAAAATAAGGAACCGGGGTTTATATCAAATTGCGATTCTTCGAATAATTCTAAAACCGGTTTTGGAAAAAAGGTGCATAACCGAACACCCTAATACATATGTATAAAATCCCATTAAATGGTCAATAAACGCACATCACTTTCCTACGCATTTGAATATTTTTATCAAAGAACTCTGTTGCCGAATCGGGGTGGCAAGTGCTGCCGTCGAATTTTTTTCGGTTTGATTGAAATTCTTAATTATTAAGTGCGTAGAATGGTATGCTAGGAGTTACGAGTAGTATGCTAGAGAGGGCTATACAAATAAATTGAATAAGAGTGAAATTTTTCTAGCCTGGAAAATTGTTCATAGATTGAAGAATTAATTTAAAAACCTTAAATGCCTATGATTTGTCAAGCGCTTCAGCTAATGTTTTTGTTGTTTTGCATTTGGCTGTTGAAATTATTCTCTTTAATTGTTAAGTGGTAATAATTTCAATAAAAATATTGCGTACACAATTTAATTAAAATTTATTGACGTTGAATAAATAACACAGGGCAACACTGATTTTGGTGCGACAAATGTTAAAGCTGTTTTTGATAGACTTTTTTGAGCTGATTACGAATCCGTAATTATAAAGATTCCATCACGTACAGATTATGAGAAAATCGAGGTCAAAGTGTCAAAAAATCAGGTTTTTTCTCAATGTTTGAAAAGCTCGAGCAAAGAGTAAAAATGTGGTAGAACCTTCCACTTAGGCTTAACTTAAAGCTAGAACTTAGGCTACTGCCCCTGAAAATACCATCCCTGCACCTTCACTTGATGGCCATTTATAGTCATTTGTTGAACAATAAAAAAAATGCTGGCAAATTGTGCTATTGAAAAAAAAATGCTGCCAAAATCAGTTTTTGCTGTTCAATAAACGACTATAAGTGATCTTAGGGTAAAGACGAAGAGATGGTATTTTTAGGGATTGTAGTCGAAAGTTCAAGCCTTAATTTAAGCTTAAGTGGAAGGTTCTATCACCTTTTGTTTAATTGCGGCAGGGACTCAAACTTTGCCAAAAGTCAAATTTTACTGCCCAATAAATGACTATAAGTGACCATAAATTCAATGTGCAGCAATGGTATTTTCAAGGATAGTAGTCGAGGGTTCTTGCTTTAATCTAAGCCTTACTCTTTGCTAGAGCTTCTCAAATATTGCAAAAGCCCGATTTTTTTGACACTTTGACCTCGATTTTCTCAAAACCTGTACGTGTTGGATCCTTTGTACTTACGGATTCGTAATCAGCACAAAAAAGTCTATCAAAAATAGCTTTAACATTTGTCGCACCAACATTTTTTTTTTTCATTTTTGTTGGCCTGTGTAATATTTCTACGGAAAATATTGAATGTACACAGTCTCTACGAAGCAATAAAGATCACATCATGAGGAAAGAGGCACTTTTGGAATTCGGCCGCACTGTCTATGTATTTACATACATATATACATACATATGTATCGGATTAACTCGTTATGACTGTATATTCTGTAACATTTAGTAGCAATAATTCATCAAACGTAGGAGTTTAATGGCATTTAGCAATTAACACCATAAACAAAAAGTTTCTACAGATTTATACCGCAATCAAAATAACGCAAATGTAAAATAAATTAATTTAAAAATTGTTAACATACTTACATATGAACATATTTTATTGCTATGACTGTTATAGACAAGCGTTAACAAATTTTGCTGCTTAGGTCTACTTCGCCTGCAATCTAATTTCATAACTCCACTAATGTGGGGAAAGTTTATGATCGCCACTCCCCAGAGAGTGGCCAGAAACTGTTATCTTGCATCCGGTTCAAGCAGCTTACAACTTCCATTGTTTACTTAATGTCTCTCTAATCTCAGAATTTTATTTAAAAACGCCCTATCTCAATACATTTTCAATGTATTTTCAGCTGAGATAGGACGTTTTTTAGCCAAATTCTGAGATAGGGTATTTTTCAATAAAATTCTGAAATAGGGCGCGCCTCAATCAAAAACACTAAATTGCTTATAAAAATTCAAAATTTACATTATTTCACTGAATGTCGAAAATTTGTACAATTTTCCTCTCTTATGCATAAAAATCCATACATATGTGTGCATTTAAATACATATTTACATACATATATGGCGCATGTTTATGTCTATTCATGCGTATAAATCAGTTGTAAACAATTTTACCTGAATTTGCCTTTCGCGCCTTAAATCAAAAAGAGTCACAACTATAAGTTTTTAAAAATTTATTTTTTCCCATAAAACAGTCTACAGGCTATAAGGCGGACTTTTAAAACATGCGTTTGACATTTACGCTTAGAAGTCAAAATTCATACAAATTTCTTACATTTTCATGCGTTGCTATTTAGGTGCTGCCATAAAAACTTGTATATAAAATTTTTTTGTCAAACGCACGCATTCATATGTAATATATGCATTAGGGGGGTCCAAAAATGCATGAGAAAAAAATAAAGTCGGCATTTTATTGCTCTCACACCCTTGGACTGCTCTATACCGAAAAAAAGTTTTCCCTATTTTTTATTTTAAAACAAAAAATATCTAGAGGTCGATCAAAGCGCTCAAGCGTTTTGCATGTATTTTTTATGGAAAAAAATAAATTTTCGTAAAAATGGTATAGCATACTTAAAAACCAATAATTTGCGATTCAGGAGATTTCCAATAATGAATTCCAATTATTTATTTAACCATTTTTTCATAGTATCTACAATTAGTAGGTCCGTCAAAGTCACTAAAAACCCCAATCAATGCAATGGGGGCACCAATAAGAAATCGTTAGTATTTGAAAATGGTTAAATAAACAATCTGGTATTCCTACAGGGATTCATCTGCAGAGAGGCAGAGTTTTCCAATCGAAAAATATTGATTTCCAAGAATTCCATACCATTTCTACGAAAAGTTGTATTTTTTGATTTCAAAATACAAAAATAGGGGTACCTTTCTTCTCCACATTGAACAATCCTAGGGGGTGAGAGCATTAAAATTCCGACTTTACGCCTTTTGGACCACCCTAATATGCATGCCTATATTTCTAACGTCGCCACTACCATCCTTAATCGGAAAAATACTAATAAGATTATTATTGTTTGTGCAGCAGCAACCACTTTTTGCCGCTCCTGAACGTTTAGGATTTTTTGAGTTGTGACTGTTTTTGATTCAGGGTGCAATATGTATGTATGTATGCCATGTTACGTATACGCCAGCGCAGACGTGTCACCATCTTAGCTGGCACGCAAGCAACACTTCCGCTTCATTGCTTTTCGTTGGCAATGAAATGCAAATAAAATTACAAAAATTTATGTTAAGGTTTGCTTANTCACAACTATAAGTTTTTAAAAATTTATTTTTTCCCATAAAACAGTCTACAGGCTATAAGGCGGACTTTTAAAACATGCGTTTGACATTTACGCTTAGAAGTCAAAATTCATACAAATTTCTTACATTTTCATGCGTTGCTATTTAGGTGCTGCCATAAAAACTTGTATATAAAATTTTTTTGTCAAACGCACGCATTCATATGTAATATATGCATTAGGGGGGTCCAAAAATGCATGAGAAAAAAATAAAGTCGGCATTTTATTGCTCTCACACCCTTGGACTGCTCTATACCGAAAAAAAGTTTTCCCTATTTTTTATTTTAAAACAAAAAATATCTAGAGGTCGATCAAAGCGCTCAAGCGTTTTGCATGTATTTTTTATGGAAAAAAATAAATTTTCGTAAAAATGGTATAGCATACTTAAAAACCAATAATTTGCGATTCAGGAGATTTCCAATAATGAATTCCAATTATTTATTTAACCATTTTTTCATAGTATCTACAATTAGTAGGTCCGTCAAAGTCACTAAAAACCCCAATCAATGCAATGGGGGCACCAATAAGAAATCGTTAGTATTTGAAAATGGTTAAATAAACAATCTGGTATTCCTACAGGGATTCATCTGCAGAGAGGCAGAGTTTTCCAATCGAAAAATATTGATTTCCAAGAATTCCATACCATTTCTACGAAAAGTTGTATTTTTTGATTTCAAAATACAAAAATAGGGGTACCTTTCTTCTCCACATTGAACAATCCTAGGGGGTGAGAGCATTAAAATTCCGACTTTACGCCTTTTGGACCACCCTAATATGCATGCCTATATTTCTAACGTCGCCACTACCATCCTTAATCGGAAAAATACTAATAAGATTATTATTGTTTGTGCAGCAGCAACCACTTTTTGCCGCTCCTGAACGTTTAGGATTTTTTGAGTTGTGACTGTTTTTGATTCAGGGTGCAATATGTATGTATGTATGCCATGTTACGTATACGCCAGCGCATACGTGTCACCATCTTAGCTGGCACGCAAGCAACACTTCCGCTTCATTGCTTTTCGTTGGCAATGAAATGCAAATAAAATTACAAAAATTTATGTTAAGGTTTGCTTACATTAATTATTATTTATGTCAACAATATTTCGGTGAATGAGCAAAAAAAAGCTTCATTGGTGAAATCACACCAAATCGCAATCTATTAAGAAATTAACAAATTCAATTTGATTTGTTTTCGATTTTTTTTTGCATTAATTAATTTACGGTGCTTTGGCTTTCTGCAAGGTGTTGTGTTGTAATATTTTTAAGTATTAATTTTGATTTCACATTTAAATTTAGCACAATACTGCTAATTTTAAGTTTATGGGCAACACGTTTATGGACATCTAAAACTGTTGGCTAATTTTTGGGTATTTACAGACCAGATTTGCGAATTTTAAAAAGGAAATTTTCGAAATATGAATTACGAAATTTCGATGAATGTTAAAAGGAAAGTTATGTTTATTCACAACACAATAAACAAAGGAGCAAACCAAGAGGTGTTTACCGTTTTGCTATGTGGATTTGTTATTATTATTGTGGCGTAATAATATCTATTTACTTTTTTAGCTAAGTGTAAGCGGTAGAAGTTATAGCTGCTATTTCGGAAATCCCCACATTTCATAATCAGACTTCTGTTTCTAGGCTTCAGCAGGAATCGAACCTGCCGCATCGATGTGCAAAGCCAGTAACTCTAACCACTAAGGAACAATCATTTTTGCCAAATATATTATTGAAAAATGTAACTGTGCTTTTCAATTGCCCATCGATACCAAAGTAGCATGCTTTGGCCAGAGTCGTACTACCGCCAACAGTGATATGCTTCTCAAAACATAAAAAAAAATCTTTATCTGTTGTCACCATCCCTCCCTACTTTTCCTGCTTCTCTTAACTGGAAAATTTTGAACTGACGGCTATGCTGTTGAAGACAAAGATGTGAATATCATTTACTATTACTACTATTTACTATTACCCCGTCGACTTCAGAGCCTTGATGTGTCCAAGCCACGTTATTTCTCTTCTCACCTCATCTTGGTCGAATGAAGGGGCATTGGTTTGGGTTCTTCTTTGTCAAACGCGTCACCTGTGTTGCTTTTAAAAAGTGTAGTGAAGTGTTTTCTCCATATCTCAAGCGCACTCCAGACGTCTTTTACCAAGTTTCCATATTCAACTGCCGTATTTTCTTATATAATTTTTCGCAAAGATAGCGACTTATTGCCTCCAATAAAGTGTTTAGAAGAGTTCTACACTTTGCCAGCTGGGCATGTATGTGCATGATAATACATGTATGCATGCCCGGCTTTAGAAGCAATGACGACCGAGGCGTAAATGGAACGAAGCGCCCTTTGATAGCAATGCTTATTACCTCGGTTTCTTGTTCTTATACAAATAGTAGAAATAAAAAATCCAGTTTTTACTATAATCAAAATCTTCAAATATCAATTACAACAAGTTTACCTGCGTGGTTTGGATTGAGAAAATTTTTCTGTGGCTTGAACAAGCCAAGCTACGTAACAATCACGTTTTCAATAGATAAGATAGCCAAAGCGTTTCTTGGGACATAGTAGATCCTCGATACATTTTGATTAGTTGCGATTTCGAAACACTTCGCTCCCTGCTGACAACAGTCACTGGCAAAGTCAAAAAAATACCTGAGAGAAACCCAAACATTAGGAAATACATGGAAGACATTTTTCTTGACGAAATTCAAGAATCTCCAAAGACCGATTCAACGCTACAGGTATAATACGTCGTAATTGTTTCAACTGTACATAAAGCTCCAATCCATTTATGTCCGAATTCTCTTCAGCTGTGAGTGGGGTGCTCAGCTCACGACATTTTGTTGTCCTTGACAGCAACCAGGGCAGTGTCAACTATAACGACGAAAACAACAGTTCTAATTGGATCTGCTGTTGTGAAAATTTCAAACTCATTTTGACTTTCGTGATCGAACATCTTCTTCTTTCTTCTTTTGCGAGATGAGCATTTTTTTCACAAATTCCAAGCCCTTATTTCTGTAGATGGATAGAAATTCACCGCAATTTCCTATAAACTCAGTGGCTGCTGCAATATCCACGGTTGTAGTCTGCATTGATATTTCAGATTAAAGGAAAAGGAAATCACCATTAGCACTTTTTAAATTTAATGACTTTAACTATGTCCACTCTGTTTTCCTAGCGAGTTGCGCATAATGGTTTGTCCGGAGAGATTTTGGACATGATTTTTCAAAATGGTTCATCTCTCGTTAGATGCTCAAAACAGAAAGTAGATGCGCTGAAATATACCAAAAAGCATGATGCGTGTTCTAGATGAAGAGGCAGCATCGCCCTTCACCCAGTTCAAGGAATGTCATCCCCATTGTAGAAGTGGTACTTTCACATTTAATTCGAGGACCCCAGCTTGATCTTCTTAGTTTTGTTAATAACTGATATTTATGTTGTTTTTTTTCGAGTAGAAAATTAGTCATTAGTCATCAATAAAGAAATTANTCTCCTCCGATTTGTGGCGTGCGCCTTGATGTTGTCACACAAAGCGGAGGGACCTACAGTTTTACGCCGACTCCGAACGGCGATTGTATTTTTATGAGAAGCTGTTTTTCATGGCAGAAATACACTCGGAGATTTGCCATTGCCTGCCGAGGGACGACCGCTGTTAAGAAAAAACCTTTTTTCTACATTTTTGCGATGTTGCTTTTGACCAGGGTTTGAACCCAGGCATTGTGGAGTGGAAGCGTGCACTGCTTACCACTACACCACAGCGGCCGAGAAATTAAATGCCATTCCATCATTTTTCGCCCCCTCAATTTGGCAACCGCCCAAACCGCCGATCCGTCCTAAAGCCGGCCCTGCATGTATATGAATGAATTTTCTGCAATAGATTAGAGTTAAAGTCTTAATTAAAAAGATGATAATTTCTAAATTAGCTCATATCTCTTTATGACTTTTAAATCCCCTTTCCGCAGGGACATGACCTTCCAAACAGAAACGCTAATGAGATGAAAGTGCTAAAAGTAGCAAGCAATTAAATTTACATCAAGGACGCATTCAAATGCAATATACATACACATATGTTTATACTTACTTAGTAGCTTAAGCGAAAAAAAATGTGTTAAATGTACAGTAGAACTGTGAAAAACTAATATGGATTATGCATACGTTTGGCAGCCTTTTCTGCTTCACAGCGCACGCCTAACCCATCTGTGTCGAAATGCAAGCTAGGAACAAAGTGCTCATGTCGCTAGCCGGCAGCTCCTGGAGAGCAGACAAGGAGACGTTCCCGCGACAGGTGGGTCTACGTAACCGGAACGACTCATATTCATATGTGGCCATTCCCCAAAACTCTTTGGGGAATTTTAATACTGTTACAATCACAACAACAGCCGGTCGATAGCAAACTACGCAGTGTGGTCGACAGAAATCAGCGAAAAGTAGTAGAGAATTTTAAAAACCTGCCAGGACGTCTACAGGCTATCACCGCATTTTGCCCGAGTATCACCTCCATGAAGAAAGGCAGTGAAAGAACACAACACTATGCTATCGAAGAATTTCCTCGTGCGATGCCATTGTGGAAACGAACGCAATAACGCTCTGCTTAGAAACGGTCCACCTACCGACATGTAAGATGGCATCGGCACGACTGGAGATCAGACATATGGCCGCCCGTACAGTGCAATACAGAGCGACTCTCAACAACCTACACCTCGATTCAGTCAGAACGAGTCTTAGCAGCCGTAAGAACAGCATCATAATTTTATTTTATTTAATTTTTAAAAAACTTATTGCTAAAAGTTTAGAGCAATAAGGGATAAAAATATGGTAACCATTTTAATGGTTAGACTACATACATAGATTATGTAAACATGAAATAATTTTTACGATTTATTTGTTAGGAAAAATGGCAAAAAACAACAAGTCTGAGCGGTATAAGTTATAGCTACTATTTCGGAGATCACCACATCTCCTCATCAGACTTCTTTTTCTAGACTTCAGCAGGAGTCGAACCCGCATCACCGATGTGCAAATATTTTGCTAAAATTCGGCACAGGATCGAAAATCCAACTGAGAGCAATGCCGGATATCTCTCTTATAGCCAGTTTCACGAAAGCAATTTAAGTGAAAAGGCTGCAACTATGATACGATTATGAATATGTCCCAAACTTTTTACATATGTATGTTAGGGTGGTCCGAAAATGCATGTGAAAAAGTAAAGTCGGAATTTTTAGGGGTATATTTTTTCGGCATAGAACAATCCAAGGGGGTGAACGCATTAAAATGCCGGCTTTAATTGTTTTGGACTACCCTAATGTACATATATACTTATGTAACTCGATGTAACTACAATGACGTGTGAATGGCATGTGAATTTTAAGAGAAGGATGAGAGGATGCGAGTGGCCAAGCTGTCTTTTCCACAACGCACAGAGCAAACTGTGTACAAAACTTGTAAGCATTAATAAATACGTGCATATGTATGTATGAACCTTACATACATACAAACGTATACATAAGTACAAATGTGCAGGCTGTCATGAACTGTTGTAAATGGAGTATATTTTTTATTCAAAATGGTATTTGTTTGTTTTTATTGTAAAACAGGTAAAAATAGCTACAAGGACGCTATTTGCGTCAAGTGTGTCGCGCGCTCGCACACACATGGAAAATAGCATAATGCAGCAGAAAACAAGCAAAGGTGATACCAGCAGAGAATGTAGTGCTTTAGTTAGAACTGCCACAAAAATGAGCAATCCAACATGCTACGCTGAGCGGAAACGCAAACGAGACTCTAAAGTTGTAATTTTTTTAAGCCGTAAGAGCGTTCGCTCTATAAGCGCTTACAAACTTTAGAAATGTGGTTTTCCTAAATTAAAGTTAAAAAAAAATTGTCACCTAACGTCGATATAAATACCTACTAAATAAAGGCCGTTTTCTGAAGTAACCTGTAACTTGAAAGCTCACTTTTTATTTAAAGATTGCATTAAAATTTATGATTGTGTCCAAAGTAAAGCGTTTTATTATCGGTTTTAAATTGGTTTACAACCAAGAAATATACATACGTCACAACCCGATAATAGAAACGCTTAACTTTAGACGTAGCTTTATTTTTAATCCAACTGTAAATATAAAGTGAGCTTTAAAGTTCAGGGTAGCTGATCGAAGTAGTTTATCGAGTGAAAGATAACGTAACTTATCCAAATGCCAAATACATACTAATCACCCAGCGAAAGAGGGACAAATACAGTGGAAATATCATGTACCGTCCTTTGTCGATGATACCTATGGTGCCCACATGTTGTGTCCATGACCAGCCCTGTGCGGACTCATAGCTCTTTGGCTGACTTACAGATATTTGCGTTATTTCATTGATTTTTTTAAATGGAATTGCATTGTGGTTGGCCGGAAATATCAACTCCATTTTCCATTCTACTTGAGGAGTAGAGAGATAGAGATTCAATGTACAGTGTAACCTCTCCAATGCACAACACTAATAGACGGAAGCTTCCCTTGGGCGAACATTTTTTTCTAACCCCGTATAAAACGTAACGTTTTTATGCACACATTTCGTTTGGTTACCGCACTCCTTTTTGTTCAGGAATAGCGTAAATAATACTCCTAAATATATTTACCTGCCTTTATGCATATGTATGTATATATGAGTGACATACTTTTGAAATAATACATACAAATTTCTTTTTGAACAACCTATTTAGCATAAAATCAATTAAAAAAATTCTAAAATGAGCTACCCTC